ACAAGAGAGTGTCGACTCCTCTTGGTATCACCCGGAAGATAGGCTGCATTGCGACGAGAAACAGCGTCACTGATAGAACGGAACCCTGTGGTACTCCATTTTCCAGCTGGTGTTTACGAGACATATGTCCTCCTACGGACACCTGGAATGTCCTTTCCGAAAGGAAGCTTTGCAGCATGTTCATCATCCGCCCACGTAATCGCCATGATTTTAGTGTCCGCAGAACACCGTGTCGCCAGGTGGTATCGTATGCTTTCGACAGGTCCAAGGATGCTATCAGGCAGTGTTCATCTTGGGTTGGCAGCGATCTTTCCAACTCGGCAAAATAGGTATCAGTGCCGCGGCCTGTACGAAAGGCGTGCTGACGTTTGTCAAGACGTCCACTCAATTCTAGCTCGGTGGTCAATCGCCGATTTAGAATCCCCTCGAACAGCTTCGCCATGCAACTGGTGAGCGATATTGGACGGAAAGCATCAGGTCCGGAGTCGTTGCAGTGCGGTTTTGGAATGGGTACGACGACAGCATTCCGCCAGCTAACGGGAAACACACCCTCGTCCCAGATTCTGTTAAGAAGCTCAAGAAGCGTCATTTTCACGGACAGTGGCAAACGTTGGAGTAACGGATACCCAATTAAATCGGGACCTGCCCTTTGTCGAGGGCCCACAGGAGTTCGTTAAGGGTGATATCGATGTTGTAGACATCATCGGTCGGTGTCGGTGTTTGATCCATGGATTCTCGTTCGGCTGCTGTCTTAATCATCTGGAAAGATGAAGAGTAGCTAGAGGTTGCTGATCTTCCACTATAGCATTTCGCTAATTCCTCCGCTTGTCCTTGAATCCATCTGCTCGCTTGAGCACTACGGTCCGTTGTTGTCGATTGCCTCGCAGAGAGTTGACCGTTCTCCACAAATCGGTGGTCGAGCTAGTTGGTGAGATTTTCGCTACGAATTTATCCCACGAATTCGTTTTGGCTTGGTTGATAGCCTGTCGTGCCGCTGCTCTGGCTTCCTGGAATCTAGCCAATGCTTCGTGTTGGTTTGGATCGGAATGTTGTAGACGTCGCAGAGATCGTAAACATTTTCTTCGCCGTCGAATAGCCACCTTTACTTCGGGGCACCACCATGGTACCGCTTTAGGTCCAACACGACCACTGGTTCGTGGTATGGACTTAGTTGCTGCGTCGATGTTAATTTCGGTGAAACTGTTGACGTCCCACTCGATACCTGATCGAATACTTTCGGCTGTGATGCTTTCGTATAACGACCAGTCGGCTTGTTCGTAAAGCCATTTTTGTCGCGTCGTTTGCGAATACGACCACCCGGGAATGGATACCGTTATCGGAAAGTGGTCGCTGTTGAAAGTGTCCGAAAGGGTTTGCCAAATAAACCTACGTGCCAGATACTCGGAGCAGAATGTCAGGTCGATTGCCGAAGTGTTACCTGTAGCCGGATCGATACGAGTAGCGGAGCCGTTGTTGAGAATCACTAATTGTTTGTCCAGGGTTTTTTCGGCAATGAATCTGCCGAGAGCGGTTGATGTTTGTGACCCCCAAGCGAGATGGTGCGCGTTGAAGTCGCCCAGAAATATAACCGGACCGTTTAGTTGCTCGAACAACTCATTCAGTGCGGCCTGACTACCCTGGATTGCACTCGGCGGAATATAGACGGATACTACAGGCTCAATCGAATAAACTTTACAGAGCCAAGTAATCATTTTCTTTATACATTATAAATGTCTTAAATCTAAAATCAAACGATTTGACCGATTACTCGCGGTCACTCGCGAGGTTAGTGGATGACAATTGTTTGAATCGGGTCATTCTAGATGATAAACTTAATTAGAACTTACACTAAGAGCAGGTAATGCTCTCTGGGTTAGTAAAAAATATTTGGAAAAAAATGGGGACTTAATCCAAAAATTATTCATTGGATCTACACGGTTATTGTTAGACCTAGAATAGTACACGCTCAATTAGTTTGGTGGCCTAAATTAAAAAAAAAACGAACAAAGCGTGACCCAGAACAATCTAGAAAAAAAAATCAACATTTGTACTGCATGGCCATAACAGGAGCAATGCACAGCACATCATCAAAGCCCATGGAGGCAGTTCTTACGTGCAAATGAAAACTGAAAAGAGTGCGCTAAGGCTACGCAGATGATTTTCTCTGGATTAAATTAGTAGTAATGGACGAAGACTGGATAGAAAAAAGGCTATACGTAGATATACCGTATAAAGTTGTTAAAGGTTACAGCGAAACATGGGAATTAGTAGGGCCAATCATTCCACCAGGATCAATTATTTTCTACACAGATGGTTCAAAAATGAATGATAGCTGGAGCTGGGATCACAGGCCCAGGGCTTAACGTTTCAATACAAATGGGAAGATGGATAAATGTTTTCTTGCAGAAATGTACGATATCTTAGAATGTGTATATATTTGTCTAAAAAAGAATTTTCGGCACACCCGAATTAGGATATTTTCAGATAGCCAGGCAGCACATGCCAATCAAACTGGTATAATATTTCTGAAGCAGCTGGCAGTCAAAAACTAGGTTTATCTGTACTGAGTACCAGGCCATTGCGGAATCGAAGGAAACGGAAAAGCCGATTTACTCGCAAGACAAGGCTCAAGTATCCAATTTATAGGATCAGAAACTTTCTGTGGGGTATCTAAATATGTAAAACAAATGGAAATAATGAAATTGGACGACAATAAGATACAGTCATACTGGGCTGCTACGAATACTTCAAGGCAATCCAAACGTTTTATAACTCCAAACAAAGGAATTACGGAAAAAATACTATATTAAAATAAAAAATTACACTGTCCCGTTAGATATCATTTGAATCGAAGTCAAATACATATCTGTCGGTTTTGTGCCTGTGAGACAGCAACCTCTCAATATTTGCTCTGCGACTGTTTGGCACTATTCGTGCACAGAAGTCAATATTTTAACAAGGGCATACTAATTCCTTCTGACATTTGGTTAGATAATCCCAAAGTGATGGTTGAATTCATTCTAAGAATCATACCAGATTGGGGTATTCCGCACTATCAGGCAATAATGGCAGTTACCCTAAATGGTAACTCGTCGTTCTGAACAGATGCGATATTAAAACAGGGGTATACCACAATAGATAAGATTTATAGTCGCAGTGGTTCAAATCCAAAAAAAAATAGATGTTATGATGTAGATATGAGGGGCTCGGTGGCCTTAGAGCTACCGTTTTTGCTTACTGAGCAGAACATCATGGGTTTAATCTCAAGCCCTTTTACATTCAAGATGAGTTAGTCGCTTTATATGTTAATATGAACACATCACTCGAATTCAGCGTATCGTTTACCAAAACGAACCTTGCTGTACACCCAACCATTGTAATCAATACCAGAGTGATTTCTAGTGGAAGTGCAGAGGATTTATCGGCTTGTAACAAAGCGTATCACGTCAACATATTGCTAACCATTCCTTAATAATCCTGCACTCGGTCGCGGTCGGCACTAATTGCCTATTATAAAGTTTAAGATCATCAGTTTTTACACATTGAGGATGATAGGTAGTCACAAGCATCATCTGTTGGTTATCTGTGTAATTACAGCTGTTCTGGCAATAACGGAGCAGCAACCGCGGGCTCATGTTCATGCTAAAATCTTCTGTGATGGAATATGTCGTATGAAGGGTTTTGGTCATATTAGGTTTTGGCTTCCCCGAAGGTATCCGGAACATATCCGGATGTGACCAATGTGTGTCTATGACAGGAACTGGGAACTACCCTGGGTACACCTGGAGCACTCGTTATGACTAAAGGCTAACTAAAAGTAATTTGGTACGCACAAAAAGACCTGTAATTCGTGATTCAGTTTAAAAAGTCCATTAATGGTTGCTTTACAGTACTTTTTAAAACTTCAAAGTTACAGCATTAGATGGTTACATGGTAGAAATAAAAGCAAAAACAACGTTATAGGATATACAATTATTCAACTAAAACGCTCATCAATCAATTTAGGCGTTTCTTTTTTGTTATTGCAGTTTTAGCTGCTTTTTTTCTATTTTGTGACGAAAATTTGTGATTTTTTTTCCAGTGTGTGTTTTTGTCTGTAAAGGCAATTTAGTTTCGTACAACTTTGTCTCACACGTCATTTCGATTAGCTAGTTGAGCCGTATTTGTGCTATGATGTACACAGCAAAAAAATAATTTTGATATCACGTCAAAGTGGATGCACTACAATCATGTCGAAAATATGGTGTAATATTACTTGCTAAAAAGGACAAAATTATCATAAATACAATGCATGAACTGACATTACGCTGCTTTTACTGCATTTGTTTATTTATGTGGTCATAAAAATTACATGAAATTTTCGACATGATTGTAGTGCATCCACTTTGATGTGATATCAAAATTATTTTTTTGCTGTGTATTAAAAATATTGAGTACGCTATTTTCAAAAAAAAAAATAAAATATATATGCGGGAGTCAAAATCGACGAATTTTAGTACAAAATTTGTTCATTACCCCTAGCGAACAATTATGGGAAGTTTCTTGGGGAAACAATCTAAAATTTATTTATTTTTTCGGTGGCCTGGAACTACTGTTATGCTGATTAGGTATAACCCGTTATATATCAGTTAACCGGAAAGCTGTAAATCCGTTTCAAAATCATTAATTACATCTTCTCTGCACTGTTGAGTCATTTTTGGCACTCAAATGTCATCTCATCTCACAAAAGCTAACTAGTCAATATCGCTGTGAATACTATGAACGAGATTTTCTGAATTGGTTCGACGACCCTTTGAAATTTTCCCAAGACCTAGCTATACTGTTTAAAGAATCAGCAAGCCAATCAATCGTGATCATTATTATTCACCATTCAACCCATTAATCCCCCTTTACCCATCACCTAATTCTCTGAATTCACCGTGCATCCGAAACGAAAACAAAAGCGACGAAATTCGCCGTTGATTAATTGGCCTTTCTTTTTTTTCTGCTTTTGCTTTTAGAAAGCGGACCGTTACTGGGTCGTGTTCTGCGTCCATGACGATTGCGAAGCGTTTCTCGAGGGTTACGTCGATCCACGGCAGGCGCCGTCGCACAGCCCAGAGTGGTCCCTCTCACTGCAGACCGTCCAGCACATCTCGCACGCGCTCGTTCCGGTCGAGCAGGAATTCGAATTTGTGATAACGCTCAGCACCGATGTGGCCCGGTTCAATACCAACACGTGGGAATGCATGCAGGAGTGGGTCGACTCGTTGCGATCCAAGCTGAGAGAGATGAAACTGCTCTCGCCCAAGGAGAATCTCTATTCCAAGCTGCCAGAAGTGAGGCCTCCACTAGCGCCCACGCGTGATCCTACATCACCCCTACCGGCTACACCACCAGTTCCGGCAGCCATTGTACCTGGCATTGAACGTGTGCAGCCATCCTCCTTACAACTACATCACCACTCTCCGACAACCTCTACATCCTCGCAACCTTCCAGTATACCTCCGGCGGTTCCATCTACAAGCACCGCGTCAAACTCCTCGAATGTATCCTCCTCAACTCCGCATGTCCCTCCGACCACTGCCATGTCAAACACCTCAACTCAGAATCTCATGAACCTGCTTACGAATCCACTGCAAGCTGTGAGCAGCATAAACAATCAGCACATTAGCAGTCAGCACCTTTTCGATGCCATATCACTAGCATCTTCCGATCTCTCCGACGGCAGCCTGGATGAGTATTCGAGTGATCTTATCAAACGATTCATATCCAACAATAGTCCATTAGCATCGCCACCACTCAATGCCACCCTGGCGTCAGGCTCCGGTAGCATACTGGCCGTTCCATCGGGTAGCGGTTCGTCGAATTTGGGTAAACCTCAAAAATCGGTCAAGGAGAACGGTGGCGCCCCAATGGCATCGTCGTCCCTGGCCACAACCTTTGTGAACAACGTACTGGCCGATCCCGGCACAACTTCACTCAAGCGTACGGACAAGAAAGTGCTGGTCGACGTGAAAGCGGACGATTTCGCCGCTGCGTTCTTCGATAGTGGGAGTGATGAGGAAGGTAAGTGTAGATTTTTTTACTGTTCTCTATAGCGACCGATTTAATTAAGTTCAATTAAGATCAATGCTGCCTGAGTGTATAAATTATTATTTGCCAGGAATGGCAAACGGTCTCTGTGTGATGTTGGAGATGCCAGAAGTGGAATAGAAGAACGAGAGAATGGTGGAATGTGTTATATGAGCGTTTTGTAAATTTATTGGTATTTAACTGGCACTGAACGCTAAGAAAGTGTCCGTAATTGGATGATTCATTCGGATGACAATATAGGTAGGAAATTATTTTAGCATTAACTTCATAAATAATAGTATAGTGTAATAAAGATGGTTCTTGTTGTTATCATGGTTATGTTTATTAAGAAAACGCATGAACGATTCAGGAATGGAGTTATGACACCGCAATAACCTCTATTGTGCTCTAACTTGTTAGGTGCTAAATGTTACCTGCAATTTGCAGGTTCTTTACATTATGCACGCTTTAAGCACTCAAAATTTTTGGGCATTTCGCACCTTAGGGGCCATATGGACAGTTTATGTGGGGGGAATTTAATCAATGGTCCATACAAAAAAAAAAATGATTGTAATTGTTGGATGTGGGGGGATAATGCAAGAAAAATGCGGGAATTTCAAAATTGATGGTTTTCCCGCCCACAATCTTGAGAAAAACTCAAATCTTAGGCATGAGTTTATTCGCCTAGGAGTTTTGCCTTGCGAAATTTAATCACCAATGACATTTTATTTGCATTATGTTTTGGTAGTTATTTTTTGCACTATTCGATGGAAAACTAACAAAACATACTAGGGTAAAGCGCTACTTAGTCGTAATCGCCCATTTCCGTTCTATCGATCAGATCGTTAGTTTGAATATTTACGCTAATTGTTCTCAAAAAAAAAAAGAAGCGCTCCAAGCGAATCCTTTTTTTTAGGTTTATCCGTAGGACGAAGAAAATCTAATGGCGTTTTAATGCGTTAGGACGCAACTGAAACCCGTAGAACGAATTTAGAATCAAGAAGCAGTATTAGATGTTAAACAATATCTCAACAATTTGTTACTCATTATCAAATCCAACGGTACGTATGGAAAGGTGAATAAATTTAGAAGCCATCTTTGACAGAAATAGGGTTAACTACCCCATTTTCGGCCTATTAAGCAAAATCCGCACTTAGTCTTTCTTAATCTAGCGCAGCTTAGCACCAAACGGAATGTTATTTTTACTGATGGCTTCCAAATGTATTTACCTTTCCGTATGTACCGTAAGATTTGATAAAGAGAAACCAATCGTTGAGATATTGTCAAAAGTCTAACACTGCTTCTTGACGCCAAACTCGTTCTACGGATTCTAAACTCGGCCTAACGCATTGAAACGCCAATGAATTCACTTCGGCCTATCGGATGAAGATAAAAATTGATTCGGTCGGAGCGCTTCTTTTGTTTTTGGGAATTATGGGTGCAAACCTTCATATCACGCGTTCTCATTGATTTCGTTCTGTAGCTTATTAACTGAAGTATCGTACCGTTAACTCTGAAATCATGGATTTATTTGAAGTTTTCTGCTCTATAGGCCCAAAATGGGTGATTAGGCCGAAGTAGTTCTCTACCCTATTCCATTTTTTGTTTAAACTCGTTCAGAAAAGAGAGGTAAAGCGCGGTTTGTGCTTAGTATGACGGAAATTAGATCAATCATCACCAATTAACGTTCGAGTGGTTTTTTTAGTTATACCTTGGAATCAGTTTTTGGCAATGTGAGTGTGATTGCGTGAAATTGCATGAGAATCTAAAGAGTCAGTTTTGGTTGGTAGACTCCCACCGGGGCCTCCCTTACCTTATTCAGTGGTGCAGCTATAAACCAAACACCCTGCAAATAATCGAGAAATTATCAGAGTTTCATAAATCATACTTGTTGGTCACGTCGGATTAACGGTTCCGGATTTTCACGGAAATTGAGTTATTTATTGATTTTTATTTATTTTTTTTATTTGTCGTCAATCAGTGTAGACCGTTTTACAATAGTTGCCTTAAGTGCTATTGTTTAAATTTTTGTCTTTGTTATATTAATTTTTAGGAGACTTTACGCAAGGAATTAAAATATTGCTTCAATTTTGTTTTTGTCATTGTAAAGTCTATGTTATCGCAGCGTGTTATGTGTCCATCATTTGGTCAAAGGGTCCAAATTTGGCATAATTCGTACGATGGCGGTTTGTTGAAAATTTATTTCTATTTCGTAGGTGCCTAGATGGTGTATATTGTAAATTTATTTATTTATTTATTTATTACACCATCTTCGACTTAGTCGTACAGACTGAATAACTTATAATTAAACATAAACCTTATCTTTAATCCTATAACTAAACACATTTTTAGACAAATTCAAATCGAACTCATCGCTAACGTTATTGAATGCTCGAAGACACGAGTCGAATGGATTATTATGGCCGTAGTTTGTCCTATGATAAGGAACCGCTAGGGGTGGCGAGTGGCGGAAGCGTCTGAGTGGAGCATTCAGTGGAATCTGTTCGAGAAGTGCAGGACAATCGATGAATCCTTTGATGAGGTCAAAGACAAACAAGCGTTGCATGTTGACTCGCCTGGCAGAAAAAGGTTCGAGTTTAATCAGCTGGCATCGATCGACATAGGGAGGAAGATTTTCTGGATCGTTCCAAGGAAGTTGACGAAGAGCGAATCTTATGAACCTTTTCTGCACACGTTCGATCGTCAGAGTCTGTGTTACGTAATACGGCGACCAAACTGGTGCAGCGTACTCCAGGATACTGCGCACCAACGAACAGTAGAGTGTTTTTAGAGCATATACATCGGTGAAGTCAGAAGCGTGTCGACGGATGAATCCTAATACCGAAAAAGCTTTGGCTGATATAATCCCTACATGATCGTTAAACCTCAGCTTTGAATCGATGGTGACTCCCAGATCGCAGATGGAATTTACCCGTTCGTGTGTCTCTGCGTCCATATAGTACTGATGGTGAGTTTGACTGATACAGCGAGTGAAAGATATTATCTTGCACTTCTTGCTGTTAACGTGCATGCCGTTGTCACCGCACCAGATAAGCATGACGTTTATATCCTCCTGCAAAGCGTCACAGTCTAAAGACGAGGCAACGATGCGATACACTTTGAGATTTGCCGATGAGGAAAGTTTGAATGATGAAAGTATTATGCACAGGTCGTTAATAAAAATGTTGAATATTAGAGGACCGAGAACGCTACCTTGCGGTACACCAGACATGATGTTGAATGAATGGGATCGAGCAGAGTTAACAACCACATAAGCATTTCGATTCGATAAGTACGACAAAAGCCACTCTGTTATCCAATCGGGGAATCCTATGTGCCTCATTTTATCAGTGACTAGAATTTGCGGTACAGTATCGAACGCTTTAGCAAAATCAATGTACAATGTACGCGTATACTTGCCTTCTTTGTTCAATTTCACGAGACAGTTTGGTGACGTAACACATCAGATTTGTTGTTGTAGACCGATGTTTCATGAACCCGTGCTGGCTCTCAGAGATAATCGAGGAAAAGGCATTATACAAGAACTTGTGGACCAACTTTTCCAAAACCTTGCTTAGGCAGCAAAGTTTAGACACCCCACGATAATTATCCACGCGATTACAGCTGCCAGATTTATGGATTGGTACAATCGATGCCGTTTTCCACGCAGTTGGAAAAGTCCTGTCCTGCAGCGAACGGTTGAACAATCGAGCGATTGGAGATGTCAGTGTGGACGAACATTGTTTCAATAACAGTGAAGGAATGCCGTCTGTCCCAGGCCCTTTGTTCGTTTCTACATCTTCAAGAGATTTTTGAATTTCCTGTGAAGAAAACTGGAGAACAGGAAGCGTGATGTTATGTGTAGTAATATGGGCAAAGCTGTCATGTCGAAGTACAGGTGACACATTAGTGAACACACTCTCGAAGAACGTCGCAAACAGGTCAGCAGCTTCAGCGTTGGTGCAAGCATGAGTTCCGTCGTAATGAACGTTACATGAAATCCGGGTGGAAGATTTCTGTTTCTTAACAAAATCCCAGAAAGATGCAGGGTTTTGTTTCACACAAGATTCGATTCCCGATACATAGTTTCTATATGACGAGAAAAGAAGTTCCTTGTACGACGTTTCCACTTCGCGGAGGTTAACTTTGTCGCTATCAGTCCTTGTTAAGAAGAACCGTTTGCGTCATTTCCTGAGATTATTCCGGAGATGTCTCAGCTCGATAGTCCACCATGGTTTGCTGAAAACTGAGGTAATGGGTCGCCTTTTCCGAGGTACATGCTCGATAAAAACTTCGTACAGCTTTTCATAAAAAACTGCAAGTGTTTCGTCCACTGTTCTGTTCTGCAGTAGAAGATCCCAGTCGATACCAGCAAACGCGTTGTTTAGGAGATCGTAGTCGCATGCTTTAAAATCGAAGTTGAAACTCTCGTCTTGGTCGTCCATTGCAGCCAGATCGTCGCTGCTCTCGTCGAGTAGTAAAATGAATGGATCGTGATGATTGTCAACGGGTAACAGTGGAGTAGAGGGTGCGATGACGTCTAGATGCTCAGGTAGGTTGACGAACACGAGATCGAGAAGCCTACCGTTCATGTTGACGAAACTGTTTATCTGCTGGAAGCCGTTAACAAACATATTTTCGATGAGGAATTGTTCGTGTTCCGAAGAAACGTTTGAGGGAATGTAACCATTTATATCACCATCCAAATGCCAGCGCAAATTCGACAGGTTAAAGTCGCCCAGTGATAGAATAATGTCACCTTCTGAAGAACGGATTGACATATGCTGAACTGCTTTTGCATGAGCTGAATATAAGTCGGAGCATGAATTCGGCGGAAGGTAAATGGTGACGATGTAAAGGGAACGATGCCCCAACCTTACGCAAACTGCCACTTGTTCCAGTTGGTCGCAGTTCGGCAAAGTGACAGGTTCACAAACGATGTTGTTTTTGACCCCGACGAGCACTCCTCCTCCACGCGAGTACTGATTGGTCAA